GGTGGCTCTGCGGACGCGGGTCCTGCGTACTGAAAGGCAGAGGGGGCAGGGTCAGCGAGTGGCCGATGGTCACCCCCCACCATCTGCAAGGACCCAGAGGGAAATGAGAGACCCTCTTGCAGAGTGATGTGCTGTGTTTTCATTCTGGTCCCCCCACCCTTGCCATCCGTGAGATGGCCACCACCTCACCTGCGTCCCAGCCTCATACACGGTGGACGGGGTTGGGTCGTGCTCTGGGGGCTCTTCTGCTGCTCTGTGCCCCCACCAGCCCGTGGCTGAGCCGTGCTGAGCCCCCCCAGCTAACGTCCCTGCCGCCACCTGGACGGAGCCTGTGGGGACAGAGAGGGGGACACGGCTTTACCTTCTCATAGGGACCCCCCCAGCTTCGAGCATCTTAGGGAGGGGGAAAAGCCCTAGGGCATGGCAGGCAAACAGAAACAGTGTAAGAAAAGGAAGTGAGAAGGAAAGGAGATGGGGAAGCACGGCAGCAGATGCATCTGCAAGCCCCACGCTTGGCCTGGGACCCCCTCCCACGCCTTGAGGGTGCTGCCGGGACCCGAGGAGGATGAGGGGCTCAGCGCCGGCCTCGTACACCCCTGGCTGTGCCCTGTGCTGTGGGGGAGCATGGCCAGACCCCCCTTGGTGTGTTCGGGCCTGGGATGGGGAAGTCAGAGCTGCTCCACAGCATCATGTGAGTAGAAGGAGGGGGAGGGGGAGAGCTCCCAGCTCCCAGCACTAAACCAAAACTCACCCTGTGCCAAGCATTGGCCAAGTCCAGTGCTTTGCACCGCTGCTGCAAAATGCACCCCCATGGCCTGTTCCTGCCTGCAACCCCAGGGATGCTCCTGGGCAGGAGCGGTGCTGGGTGCCGGGGCTCAGCGCCCACTTTGGCACAGGCAGTGGTAGGGATGAAGTCGTGGCCGGCTCTGCCAACCCTCCTCTGCCAGAAGGGAGGAAGAGGAGTGGGGGGCAGCGGGCAGGGAGAGCCCCCCTGGCTGCCTCAGCCCCAGTATCCCTGTCCCGAGCTGCCCCAGGTCTCATCGCCTTGGGTCCAAGTCTCGCCATGGACTTGGTGAGGGGGATGGAGCTGAGTCCCAGCTGGGGACATAGCAGTCCCCAGAGTTCCCCCTGCCATCGCCCAGCAGCACTTTCCTCCTTGTCTGAGCCTTGCACGCCCTCCCACCGGGTCCCGTCACTCCCGCAGGAACGAAAAAGGAGAGAGCCTGTGTTTCGCTCCCAATTGTCCCTATTTATAGCCCCGAGTGCTGGCAGGATGGCTGTGACCTTGTCACCAGCCTCACAGCGGGCCCTGCTGCCTTTCCCACCATTTAACCCCCCTTTTTCTCTTTCCTTTCCCTGATCACCCTCTATGCCTGGTGACCGCAGATCCCCTGCCCACCCCCGGTGCCATGGCCACACCAGTGCCCGGCGCTGCTGAGGGCCGCACTAATTACAGCGAGTGGTGACGAGGCTGTGGGAAGGGGGTGAGCAGGAGGCAAACCCAAAGGCTGGGAAAATCCTCCCAGTGTGGTCCAAAGGCAGCCCTGGTTCTGCTGTGGCCCTGGGGTACAGAGCTGGCAGATGGGGGGTGGCCAAGGGACAGGGACGCGGGGACAGCGGGTGGCTGGTCCTCGACCTTGGCTGGTTCTCCACCAAAAGGCCATGCCAGTGCGCTCTGTGGTGGCACCAAAGGGCGACACCATTGTGCTCTGGATCTGCAGGGCCGGTATCCCAGCGATGTGCACCTCCCAATGCCCCTGGACCCCACACCCCACCCCAGTGGCAGGGGCCACTTCCGGCTGCCCTGGTGCCGGGCACCACTGCACCAGGGGGGGCGGATAAGGAAGTCCTGGTGGAGCCTGCGAGTGCCAGAGGGAAGGTGAGGACGCACACACGAGGCCGCAGAAAGAGGAAGGCTGACAAAAAGGGGACATTTCCCCAGCAGAGAGGAGAAACGCCGCAAAAGCTTCCCTTGCCTGAACGCAATCAGGTCTCCAAGCCCCCTGTGAGCCCTCACCACCACCACCCGGTCTGGGAGTCCCCTGCCCTGGGTGACCCTGGGCACTGGGTGTCCCCAGGCTGTGCCAGTTCACATGCCCATGATGTCCCTGCCCTGACCTGCACCCAAAGGAGAGGGGAGCCCTCACACAACTGGACAAGATGAGTGCTCCCCAAAATGGCTTTTGAAGGGAAGCTCTCCCCTTCCACCCACCTGCTTCTTCCCAGGGCGCTGGGTCACCCCATGTCGGAGTCGCAGAACTGGGGTGCCCGCATGGGCAAAGCCAAGGCGATGACAGTCACCAGCTGTGAGGAGGACACCCCTCCATGCACCCCACTTTCCCTGGGTGCCCCAGCTGGGGATGATGTCCCCAGCAGCACGGCACCCCCTCCCAGTCCCCTCCCCTGCAAAGTGGGGCACAAACCAGCGCCCGCCCCAGTGCAGGGGCACAGCCTGCACTGAGCCCACTGTGCTGTGGGTGATGGAAGGACTTGGGGGACACACAGGAGGAGCCAGCAGCGGCGCATCCGTACCTGCAGCCTGGCCATCGCACGGCGGTGGCGGGTGCCAGCCAGGGTGACCCCCCGGCTGGCTCAGGGGATGGGCGGCATTGCCGGGACCACCGGGTCTGAGGGCAGGGAGATGGGAGAGAAAAGAAGAGAGAAAGAGAAAAGAAAAGCAGCCGAACATCCTCTCACAGGAAAGGGAGTGGTAAGGGAAGTGGCAAACTCAACTGAAGAGTTCAGACCTTTTTTGGGAAAGCCCCGGCAGGGCCCGGCTGCTCTTCTCACTGCTATGCCATGGGGCAGGAGCAGGGCAGAGCCGAGTTTCGCAGTGGCTG